GATTGCCCGAGCCCGCGAGTTCGAGACCCGCCTGGGCAACTTGTGAGACCTCATCTCTACAATAAATCTAAAAAATTAGCCAGGTGTGGTAGCACACCTGTAGTTCCAGCTACTTGGAAGGCTGAGGCGGAAGGATCGCCGGAGCCCAGCAGGTCGAGGCTGCGGTGGCCGGGAGCGGCCACTGCACTCCAGTCTGGGCGACAGAGTGAGACTCCCACTCAAAAAAAACCAAAAAACAAAAAAAATGGAAAGCAGTTAGAATATTCCTCCACTAAATTATGTATCCTTATGTATAAATAAATATAAATACAGTTATGATTTGTCATTGTGGAGCAGGATTCATATATATTCTTGTTCATTGTATTTTCACCTGACATGTAGTAGATGCTCAAAAATATTGTTGAATGAATGATACCATATTTAAATGAGCAAGTACATTTAACTATTCCATGTTCTGTGATAGATATATAGGTAGTTTATGGGTTTTTTTAATAAACAAAATCTAATTGAACTTCCTAATATATATCAAGTTGAACTTCCTTGAACATCCTTTGTTACGGTTAACTTATTAGATAAATTTCTAGAACTAAAATCACTAGGTAAGTATGTATATACATTTAATATGAATACTGGACTTCAAAATTGTTCTTCAGAAAGCTAAAGTTTTATATTTGTTCTAAAATTTTTACCTATGCTAATTTGTATTATTTTTCTTTTTAATTGTACTCCATTCATTAAATGAAAATTACTACTTTTAAATGTTACCTACTCAATTTTTAAAGATCGTTTTCCCTTTTATCCAGTTATTCTCTATAGATATAATTTTTCTGCCTATAATATGTCGAAGCAGTTCCTGAGTTAAATCTTTTTTTTTTTTTTGAGTTGGAGTCTCACTCTGTCACCCAGACTGGAGTACAGTGGCCGCTCCCGGCCACCGCAGCCTCTACTTGCTGGGCTCTGGAGATCCTTCCGCCTCAGCCTTCCAAGTAGCTGGAACTACAGGTGTGTGCTACCACACCTGGCTAATTTTTTGATTTATTGTAGAGATGAGGTCTTGCCGAGTTGCCCGGCCGGGTCTCGAACCCATGGGCTCAGGCAATCCACTCACCTCAGCTTCCCAAAGCGGGGGGTTACAGGCTTAGCCACTGAGCCCGGCTTCTGAGTAAATCTTAAAAGCAAATTTGGTATAGGAAAGAAGCTATCTCTCTATCTCAGGTTAATGAACAAATGGTAGAGAGCCCTTACCTCTAGAAAGTTTATTCCCTTTTTTCTCATTTTTCCTTTTATATTCAATATCAAGATTTATCTATAAGCTTTGTTTCATTAGCAGCCTTTTAGTTTTCACCAAAGTAAATTCTTTGAAGGAAGAATTTCTCAGACTAATTTTAAAATGTAAGATATCCCATGCAAATTACTAAATTTACTTATACAGTACTCATTTGATAAAGTCAATTTTTAAAAATGATAACCCAGCTGATATATGTGTCATTTGAGTTCCAAGGATTCAGTTGAAATTTGTGAGAATAATTTTAGTAATTTCACCCAATTTAAAAATCTTTCACTTCTCTTTTCACATGTGAGACATGATTTCAGTATTATGTTCTTTTACCATTTATTAATAGCATTCTCTGAAGAAGAGCAACAAATTCAGTTTCTGTTTTGCACATGCATGTCTCTTCATCTGTTACAGAAGAGATTAATAGTAAAATGAAATCCTATTTTGGACTGTTGAAATTCTTTTTGTTTTATGTTTCGGGCATTCAGTAATATTTTTAAAAATTACGTCTTGTGTTGAAAATCAATAATTAAAATCAATATTCAATAAAAGTGAATGAGTGTGTGTGAATAAAAAATATTAAAATAAAAAAGTGGAAGAATGTATATACTGTAAGAGGAAAACTATAAACTGAAATGCAAGGATGCTTGAATAATATAATTTTTACAAATTATAAGCACTTGAAGTAAACAATATTCTGTACTGATATTGAGTAATGTCACAAAGTTTAAGACAAATAACTAGAAGAAATCTCTCAAATTGTTTGTAAGATTGATTGGGCATTTGAGTGATTTAAAGTAAGTTAAGTCAGTAGTCAGAAGTAATACTAATTTATTCATTTTTTACATAAAAGTTCTTTCTGTTGGCAAGCCTTAATCTAAATATTAAACAAAATAGAAATTAGAATTTCTTTTAGAAGACATAATCTGCACATGTACAAATTTCCAGCCATATCAGAAAACTGAATACATAATTACCATAATTGTAGAAAGTATGTCTCTAGCCGGCAAGTTTGTCATTAATGTTTCTATATAGTATAACAGTCAGTAGTTATCACAAAAAGTTTTTATTAAATTTTTATTTCTATTTTTCTCAAATAAGTAATGGAATATTATTTTTAAATTTACTTTAAATTTTGATTTTGAGAATTTTAATTGTTACTATGCATAGGTTAATATTGTAACCACTGTGGAAGAATTTAAAAATGTAAAGACAATATTACCTATTTCTGCCTACAAAATGATTTTTTATATTCTAAATCATCATAATAATAAACATAGTATGTAAACATGCTGTAAAATGTGATAAAGTGATATATCAATTAGTGTAAAATAATCCTATACAGATCTAGTATATGAAACCTGAGGGAATCAATAGAAAGTGGCCAAATTCAATATGTGTAAGTACTTCTGTTAATTTGAAATGTATTTCATTTCATTTCACTTTGTTGATGTTCATTTATTATGAGCGCAGACATTTTTTTCTTTTACTTTTTTAATGCATTTTTATATAAATTTATACCAAAGGACACACTTGTAATTTATTAAGTTTTAACTTGTATAAATTCTGATTTTTTAAAGTCCACTGTTTCATGATGTACTAGTAATAGCCCAAAGATAATACTCTGAATGTATCTGTGATTTATATTTTTTCAAATAACTAGTTTATTATTGAAAGTGTTATGCACAAATGGTAAAAAAATAGGAATAATAGAACAACATATGTATACATACACACACACACACACACACCCCAAAATAAAAGACTGATTTATACTTCAGGTTTCTAGAACTCCTGAAACAGCACTGAGACATATCCGTGTTATCAGGTGCTTAGGTATCCTTCTAAAAAAATATTCCGTGTATATGTAATCATCATTACCTAGGTTAGATATATACCCCCTTTACTGTTCATGGTAGCACACCATACGTTTTGTTTCTTTTTTTCCTTAACAGTAGTCTTGATTTATATTTTAGATAAGTGGCCTTCTATAAGAGTCAGATAAAAATAATCATTTCTTTAGCACCCTGTGTGTGCTTTATGCTGTTAGATGATTTGCAAGTCATTTTGGTAAATCCCTGGGATACTTCAGGAGGTAACTGAAATTTGTCCTCTAGTACAAATAAATAGGTCCAGGAGAAATAAAATAACTTGCCCAAGATCCCAAGGTCCCAAATACTAAGTAGTTAAGCTAGAATTTGATTACAGTTCTGCCTGATTTAAAAACTCACAATCTTTTCACTAACTTGATGTAGCAGTGTTATACATATCCTCTTTTTCTTTTATCCTTTACTTAGTATTTATTGTTTTAAAGTAGTGATTGACTAATGTGTAGAGATCTGAATTATTAAATGAAAGGTTATTTTCAAAGTCCTTGTTATTCTGAACTTCTTTATCTCTTAGTTTGGTTTCTAGCCAAGGATAAAGGCTATGGAATTCCAAAGACATTAGTTAAAATTCTGGCTCTATTTTATTTTGTCCTGGATATTTAACTTACCTGAGCCTCAGAGCTACTTAAGTAAGTGATGGTAGCTATCTGATTTTTGTTGTGAAGTTAGAATTTTACTGATAGATATAAAGAATATAGCACAATGTCTGGCAAATGAAATGATAGTTAAGTCTGTCTGTGATGATAGGGCTAGACCATAGAATTCCTGGTTTCTTTGCTTTACTTGGAGATTTGATGAATACTTGTTCATCCTAAGTACCAATAATCTTTGAATAAGGGTAGTACCTTTGTTTTTTCATTTAAATATGTGGAACCTGTTTTCAGCAAATATGAACTGTAGTGAAAAACCATATCCTTCTAATTGAAAATATATACATTTTATTTCATTGAAAATTATGTTGCCATTATATGTCATTGTTTAATGATAATAAACCTTGTTGGAAAATGAAGTATTTTTAATATTCAATTTGGTGTTAACCAAATTGTTTTCTTTCTTTTCTGTCATTTAGTACAAGTTGGGTGTACAAAGTAACCACAGGAAATTTAAGTTCTTCTTCTGTGATTATATGTATTATGAGTTGTTTGGTAAGCAGAAATTATAAATCATAAATCTGATACACTAACTTTCATTTCTTTTAAAATTTTGTGTTTTATTTTTATCTTAGACCCAGACCTTATCTGTTTAAAGGAGATCATAAATTTCCTACAAATAAAGAGAACTTACCAGTGATTATTCTCTATGCAGAAATGGGTACTAGATCATTTAGTGCATTTCACAAAGTATTGTCTGAAAAAGCTCAAAATGGAGAAATTCTGTATGTCCTTCGCCACTATATTCAGGTACATGCTTGTTTTTTTCCAAGATTGTTTTTGACTATAGAAAAAATTATTATGATAAATGTCTTAACTAGATTTATATAATTTTCACCAGAATAGTATTTAACATTTTTTTTAACTTAAAAAAAGTATTACAATGAAGAAATATTTTATATATTGGGATTCTATCTGTTCTGGGGGTATTATGTTTATAATTCTTTCCCCAATAATATATCTGGCACAAATTTTAAAATTTGATAAAAACCAAAAATGAACTTTAGTAATATGTGTACAGGAAGTCACTAACAGATGAACAAGCTCTATTCCAAGAGCACGTTTGTAAGTCCAATTTGTTTTAAGTCCAACAAAGTTAGTCTAGGTACCCACCTAACATACTCAGTTATATTGTACTATATATATTTAACAGGCTATACTGACACCTGGTGGAGAGAAATAATACATTAAGAAGTGCAGGTGTGCATTATTAAAGTTTGTAAATTGAAGTTTCATATGTAGGGGACGTACTGTATAATATTTTCTGGGACTCAGACAGTTATTTTTAATAAAAACGTATGACAGGCTGGGCACGGTGGGAAGCCAAGGTGAGGGAACTGCCTGAGCCCACAGATTTAAGAACAACCTGGGCAACTTGGCGAGACCTCATCTCTACAATAAATCAAAAAATCAGCCGGGCATTGTAGCCAAAAAAAAAAGTATTACAATGAAGAAATATGATTTGTTTGATATACTGATAGTGTTACATCCTGATAGTTCTTTATGCTTCCTGCACAGAAAAGCTGATACACTGAGATAGCAGTTGTTACAGCAGAGAAAGTGTTTAGGAATCCCAAAGCAGCTAAGCAAGGAAGTCGAGAGATATTTCTCAAATATGCATCTCTAAGAACTCAGGGATTAGGGTTTTTAAGGATAATTTGAGGGATTGGGGGCTAGGGAATTGGGACTGCTGATTTGTTGGGGGTGAAATTATAGGGGTGTTGTAACTGTCTTCATGTGCAAAGTCAGTTTCTTGGTATGGGTTACAGGTCCAGGTGGTGTCAGTTAGACCACAAGAATGTAAGGTTCAAAAAATATATATATATATTTTTAGTTGGAGTCTCAATCTGTCACCCAGGCTAGAGTGCAGTGGCCACACTCATGGCCACCCCAGCGTCAACCTGCAGACTAGGTGATCCTTCCATCTCACCCTTCCAAGTAGCCAGAACTATAGGTGTGTACTACCATGCCCGACTAGTTTTTTATTTTTTGTAGAAATGTGGTCTCGCCAAGTTGCCCAGGCTGGTCTCGAACCTGCAGGCTCAGGCAGTCTGCTCACCTCAGCCTCCCAAAGTGCTGGGATTACAGGCTGAGCCACCGAACCCATCCTGAAAAATATCTTAAAGAGCAGTCTTTGATTTTATAATAGTGATGTTATCTATAGGACAAACTGAAGTCCTGTGACCACTGGTTACATGACTTCTGAGCAGTAAGCAACTATAGAAAAGCAAGCTAGGAACTGGGTTGGTGACTCACACCTATAATTCCAGTGCTTTGGGAGACTAAAGCTGGAGGATCATCACTTGGGCCTACGAGTTTGAAACTAGCGTGCGCTAGATAATCTAGCAAGACCCTGTCTGTATAAAAAAAATTTTTAAATAGCCAGACATGGTGGGGCATGCCTGTAGTCCCAACTACTCAGGAGGTTGAGGTAGAAGGATCACCTGAATTCAGGAGGTTGAGGCCATGGTGAGTCGTGATAGTGCCACTGTACTTCAGCCTGGGTGACAGTGTGAGACCCTGACTCAAAAAAAAAAAAAAAAAAAGAAAGAAAAGAAAAATAAGCTAAGAAACAATAGAGACTGGTTATCATTTATGCCTGTAGCTGAGCAGAAAGGCATATGGGAGGTGAGATCCTTGGTGATCAGAGCTGCTGATGCATCAAGAAAGTCTGGGGCAACCCCTTCGGGTTCCTTCCCACTGTGGAACTTTTCTGTCCTTTAATAAATCTTGCTTTCTAAAAAGAAAAAGTTTGCATGACTTCTAGCCCATTGTTCTTCAAGAGAAAAACAAATTCAGTAATCTTGCAGGCAGCCCCAGGAACTAGGATAATCATGCATGAAGAAAGAAAAGGTCAATAAGTATAACATATCTTATGATATAGCTATGTCTATACCTTAACAAAATTCAGGCCCCATCACAGTACTAACCTTGTGACCTTTTATTAACTTTACAAAGGCAGTTTCAATAGTATATTCAGTATTAGGTCAAAGTGTTAAACGTGGTGTAGGAATACTCTTAACCCTAATTCTTTTTGGAGCTGACTACTTTCTCATTCAGATTTCTGGTCAAATGTCTTGTCCCCCTCACCCCATTGGTATCGCACTATCACTTTATTCTGTTTTAATGACTCTGTAGCACTTATTACTATATCTTAAATTTATTTTTTAACAACTTCAAACACAGACACACACACACACACAAAATGACCATGAGAGGAATGACTCTGCCTTGTTATTGCTGTGTTCTCAACATGGAGTGTTTTAATTTGCATTTCTCAAATTATTCACTCATTCGCGACTGCTGATGTGAGTGTATGTCATTCTGAATTCTGTTCCGGGTTGCTGATGACATGGGTTTACCTCATTGTGGAAGACTGTCTTTTGGGGTTTGTAATCTGAATAACAATACAAAGTATGGAATGCTAGTCAGAGTGGTGTCTGAGGCAAATACTGGATATATCTGCAACTTTCAGCAGTATTGTGAAAAAGGTGACAATTTATAAAAGACCATTTCACTTGTGCTTAACAACAGAAGTTTGCAGCAACCAGCTTCAGATTATTTTTATTTTCATCCGCTCTCAGTATTAGGAAAATGAAAAATTTGCCGATTGTGCATGTGTTAAGATTTATGTATTAATATTTAATTTAATAAAAACATTACAAATATGCTTATAAATTGCCTGTCCATAGCCTTTGCCTATGTTTATTTTGGATTCTTTTTTCTCATTGATTTATAGATGTTTTTAATATATTCTGAATATTGATCTTTTCATCCTACTTTATAAACATCTTCTAGTGTCTTTGTTTTTCTGGTATTAAAAAGTTTATGACATTTTCCACAAGTGTTGATTGTGATGTAATCAAACTTATCCAGCTTTTCCTTAATGATTTCATTCATGATGCCATAAAGACATTCTCTTATCTTATAAGAATTGAAGTTCCATTTTTTATGTTTTGGTCTTTAATCCATCTGGAATTTATTTGAATATGCTGGGGATACAGGTGTAATTCTGTTTTTTTCATATGGAAAATCTTTGATTTTCACACACTTCACTGAATAGTCAAGTTTTTGTTTTACTCTATCATATACCAAGTTTTCGTATAGGCATTTAATGTTTTCAGACTTCCTGCTCTGTTGCAGTGATATATATGTCTATTCTATACAAATATAGCATCATTTTAATTGCTGTTGCTTTAAAATATACTTGTTTTGCAAAATACCTGGCTGTTCTAGCTTGGTGTGTATTCATGTTAATTTTAGAATTCATTGACCAGGTTCCATGAAACGTGTTGGGATTTTTGTGGGAGTGAATTGAACTTTTCTGATTTATTTTGGGAAAATTTGTCCTTTGCATACATTGACCTTTGTTTTCCATTAACGTATTTTTATTTCACAGTTAGTCAGATGTCTTTTTGGAAAGTATCATCTGTGATGTACAATGTTGGGTTTCAGTAGTCACATAGAGTCATGTGTCAGTCACCTTAGTACCATCATATCTGCATACAGGTTTCTGGGAACATATGTTAGATAAATGCCTGGAAGTGCTATTGCTGAGTTGTGTGGTAAATTGATGTTTAGCTTTATAGTAAGCTGTCTTCCAGAGTGGTGATATGACTTTATATTCCCCCCAGCCATAAAAGATAATCTCTAAATCCTAACCACTACTTCTTAATGTCAGTTTTTGAATTTTAGCCATTCTAGGTGTGCAGTGTTACTGTGGTTTTAATTTGCATTTGCCTAATGACGAATGAAGTTGAGTGACTTTTCACAAGGTTTGGTTGTTTTTGTTTTGGTGAACTATTTTTTTGTTGTGTTTTAGGAGTTCTTTATATGTTCTAAGTAAAAGTCTTTTAATCACGTGCGATTTACAAGCATATTTTACCAGTCTGTGAATCATCATGTCATTCTCTTAACAATGTCTTTTACAAAGCACAAGTTTATAATTCTGACCAAGTCCAGCTCATCCATTTTTTTTTCTTTTATGGATTATATTTTTGATGGTTGTATCTAAACACTCATTACTAGTCTCAAGGTCATGCAGATTTTATTCTAGAAGTTTAATGGTTTTATGTCTTACATTTAGGTTTATGATCCATTTGAATTAATTTTTGTTCAACTTATGAGTTATGTGTTGAGGCTTAATTTTCTGCATATGGATATCCAGTTCTAACATAATTTATTTAAAACACTTCTCCGCTGAATTTCCTTTATATAATTGTAAGATACAAATGACTATTTGTATGGGTCTATTTCTGGCTTCCCTTTTCTGTGCCGTTGATCTGATATGTTCTCACATCAACATCACACTGCTTTAACACTTTATAGTGTTATACTTTATTACTATAGCTTTATAAGCCTTGAGATAAGGTCATGTGAGTCTTCCACTTTGTTATTCTTTTTCACAATGGTTTTAGTTAATCTAGCTCCTTTGCCTTCTCATGTGAACTTTAAAATCAGCTTGTCTGTACCTACAAAAAATCTTGCTGGCATTTGATTGATATTACATTGAATATTAAATCAAATTTGTGAGAATTGACATCTTAATATTGAATCTTCCAATTGATGTGAATGGCAATTCTTGATTTATTTAGATACCCTTTGATTTATTTCACTGGTGTTTTTCTTTTTTTCCAATTTATATGCCTTTTCTTTCTTTTTTTAATTATTGTGATGATTAGGACTTCCAGTTCATGTTCAATGGGAGTGGTGAAAGACGATATCCTTGTTTTTTTCCTGATCTTGGGGGA